TACTATGCTGAAGTAAAAAAGAAGGAGTTCTTAACATTTGCAACAGCATGGATGGAACTGGAGAGCATTATGCTAAGTGAAATAAGCCAGTCAAAGAAAGATAAATATCACATGATCTCACTCATTTGTGGAGTACAATGAACAACATAAACTGATGAACAAAAATAGAACCAGAGTCATAGACTGTCCAACCTATGAGGGAAGGCAGGGGGTGAGGAGGTAAGAGATCAACCAAAGGACTTTATGCATACATATGAGCATAACCAATGGACACAGACTGAGGGTGGGAGGGGGTGAGGGCATGTACTGGGGGTTGGGAGCAGCTGGGGAGAGGTCAATGGGGCTTATGAAATACATTAAACAATAAAGAATTTAAAAAATTTTTAAAGTCCCTATTTCAGGATAATTAGATTAATTTTCTCCTCATTTAAAAAAAATGTATTTATTGATTTCAGAGAGGGAGAGAGCGATAGAAACATCAACAATGAGAGAAAATCATTAATTGGCTGCCTCCTGCACACCCCACACTGGGGAACAAGCCTGCAACCTGGGCATATGCCCTGACCAGGAATCGAACCATGACCTCCTGGTTCACAGGTTGACGCTCAACCCCTGAGCCATGCCGGCTGGGCTCTCCATTTTTTGTAAGGTGATATCTAGTCTTCTCAGAACCCCAAGCTGTCAATATTCTTCTTAAACAACAGGTTCCATTCTCTTTCATATTAAATGCTTTTATTTACTGATTATATCATGTCTGAAACTGCAATCACCAACTCAAGTGACATTTTAAATCTCTTCTCATGTTTCAAAGCTTATGAAATGGGAAGCACTGAGAATACTACTCACCAAATGCACAAACCTTTGAAAAAGACCCTGTTGTTCTCAAAACAATTCCTATTAACAACAGAAGCTTCTTTATGATACTGATACTTTTACAATTTTAGGAAAAGTTTAGCTATAATTTAACATGAGTTTAGCAATAAATTAAAATGACTTTAAAGTCAAAGTTGTACAAATATTTTAAACTAAGCAAAACAAACTCTGAATACCAACAGTTATACAATTAATGTCTATACAAAAAAGATTTTTTAATCATGACTTTAGATCTTCAGGAATTATTTCAGGAAGAAAGCCCAGAAAATGAGACCTTATGTTCAAATCCAAGGCTGACTTCTTCAATACTATGAAGAGCAATTACCAATGTTTGAAATGTAATAAGTTAGCATTTTTATTTTAAAAAACCTGTGGTTTATAGTAATTAAACGTAGATCATTTCAAACTAACCATAAGCAGTTTTACAAGGATATCTCCACATAACTACATGGCTGCAGTTTCAGAAAGTTTGAGAGCTGCGGCAGTTTCTGATAACCCTTAGCTTACCATAAAAAGTGAGCACTATACCAGTAATTACACAGCTCACAAAAACACAGGAGTCTGAAAATTTATATGAAATGACAACGTGGTATGTTATTGCACATGATTTTACAAAAATGTGCATTCATTCATACATATACATTCAGAAAATAAACATTTACTGAGCCACCTGCTATCAGCCACTGCCTTTGAGAAGGAGTTCACTATGGAAAGAACAATGGTAAACCATGTAATCGGATAAATTATAGTATAATATGTTAGGTGATACAATATAACTTATCCTACATAATATAGAGAGTAGATTCCTCTGATGAACTCATTCTGAAATACACATTATCTAGAACTTGTTGAGTAGAATTGGTCCATGAACCAGCAAACGGCCATCACCCAGATGCCAGTCAGTCAGAAATACAGAATCTCAGGTCCCAAGCAAATCTACTAAATCAGAATCTGCATTTTTAACAAGATCCCCAGGTAAACCCAATGCATTTAAATTCTGAGAGGCAATCATCTGAAAACCAGTAACTAAGTAAAAGTGATGTCTGGTACTTTTAAGAAGCTTCAGGCCCCATCCTGAGCCTTTTTACAAAAATATACACAGTTTTAACAAATTTAGCTACCTAGGTTCACAGATTAGGAACAAATTCGGAAATAGCAATAACAACGAAGAAAAAAAGTGGGAGAAAACCAATAAAAAGCATTCTCAAATGAGATCTCTGTAGAAGGCCATTTAACAGCAACAGTCTATCCTAACTGCCCTAAAGCTCTCACTATTAATACACAAGTGTTACAGTAACTGACTTTCTTAAATGTGATTCCTCTAACTAGACCACATATTCCTTGAGGATAGGGACCTAGTTTTATTCCTAAATACTTACATTTGTAAAGCGGATGACCCCATGTCACTAAGATGAATTTAGGTTAGGCAATGAGATGTATAACACACTTCAGAAAAATTTCCATCTGAAAAAGTTACCAAAAAAATGTAAAACCTCCCCATTCAATAACAACCCATTCATTCATCAAGCACTCTGAAAGCAGAGGCTTTACGGAACCCTGTGCTCCAAATCTGAATGTCTCTTCTGACTCTACTCAGACTCACTTCTAGGGGGACTGGTGAGTGGAGTCAGCAGAGAAAAAGGAGAAATATTAGGAGAACGGAGGGAGAGCAGAAATCACAGACCACCCCAGGGTTCCTCCATTCATGACAATAAAAAGAGCAAAAATAAAAAGCCACAACAAAGAGACAGCAATCCTAGAAGAGAACAAATGCTACCTCAAGCAACCATTCAGGCCATGTTCCGTGCCCCTGTGAACCAGACACATGCTCACAATCCTAACCAAACAATTCCTCAAAGACACCTTAACTCTAGAAACATTTCCCTCCTGGCCTTCAACAAGGTGCTAACAGTTTAGGATACAATTCTTTCTTCCAAAACAGCAAACTTCACGAAGCTTTATCATTACTCTCCAAACAAATCCGTTTTCTTGCCTATGTCTTTGCTCATGCTCCATTCAGGGGCCGTTCCCATTTGTTGATCTAAATGCATTATCCAAAGTTAATCACTAGCCATGTGTGGCTATTTATCATTTAACATGTGGTTAGACCGAACTGAGATGTAGAGTAAACGTAAAATACGCATTGGATTTTGAAGACTTGGTACAGAAAGATGTAAAATTATGTAATTGTTTGGTGGTGTGTTTTTTTAACAATGATTACATGTTAAAATAATTAAATATTAACTTCACCTGTTTCTCTTTAGTTGTTAACATGGCTATTAGAAATATTTAAATTACCTATGTGGCTCACAGTATACTTGTACTGGACAGCACTGATCTAAATCCTGCTCATTCTTTAAGGTCTTGTTCAAGCACCTCTGTTCCCATGCTTTCCCCAAAGGCTCCGAGCAGACGTGGTTTCTGCCTGCTGACCTCTCATAACACTTTTATCCACACTCCCAAATAACTGGATCAATTTTACCTTGCTACTGAGTGTACCTGTCAGAGCTCCCCAACTCCAATATAAGCAAACTGAGGAAAGAAACTACATCTAGGGCATCATAAATCTCCCCCCTACACCTTGGAGAGTACATGCACTAATGCTTGACGTCTGCTGACTGAGAGCTGAATTTCTCATGTACTATTTTATCTCTCCCTTTTGGTGCTTTCCATTTTTCTCGGGGATTCAAGTCCATGTGTACACACGCCCTGGATTATTCTTATGAACAATGCCGGTGAGCTGTATGCATGTAGCATGACGAACAAGGAAATCTAAAATTATCGAATACACGTGGTCAGTACATTTCGAACAATTGTAAACATTCGACAAGCCTCTCAAGGTTCCATTTTTTTTATAAGACCCTAAAACTGTACTATGAAGATGAACTATCTCAAAAGTAGGAGCCTTTCCCAAACATGAACAACACTGGGTGACTAAAGTCTCGCAACAAAATTATTGGAGGTCCTCTCCACAGGCCGAGCATAAACCAGGTGAGCATGCAAACGCGGGGGAGCAGCAAGAGCGGGGCCCCGCATCGCATCCAAAGTTGTGAAGATGGAGCTGGGAGGACAGTGGTAGGAAGGGAAACGATGAGTTATGAGCAGGAGACGAATGCTGGAAACTAAGATTAATCTAAGAAACTACGATTTTTTAAAAAAAGTATCTCAGCTGTCGGAGGGATCCTCCCTGGGTGTGTCTGTCAACCTCTGCACCCGCAGGCGGAGGGAGCGGGAGGGAGCGACAGCCCTTCCCTCCCATGGTATTCGGGGGGGCCTCAGCCTTGCGCCCGCGCACTCCCGCCCCAGCAGCCCACCCGACCTCCCCTGCCGGGGCCTCCGGCCAAAGGCAGCCCAGAGCCACCCGCTCCACCCTCTGGAAGCCGGTGGACCAAGCGGGAGGGCCGAGCTGAGGCCGAGCCCCTGCACGTCGGACACCCCTCTCCCCTCGGGTCCTGCCTCAGCCCCTCCGGCACCCGGGGGCTGAGGCGACCGGGCAGGCGGAGGGGGCGGGGCAGGCGCTGGGGCCTGGCGGGGACCGGCCTTCGCGTCCCACGCCGGCGCCCCTGGGTGCCTCCGAGACGGGCAGGGCGGTGAGAAGGCAGCCCGGAGAGCGGTGAGAGTCAGCCCGGGCTTTCACTCACCAGTGGCCGTCGCTAGACTGTGGCAGTGGCAGGACCTCTTCTCCTTCCGCCATTGCTGTTGACGTCCACGTCACTTTGCCGAAAAGTGGACCCGGAGCCGAGACCAACTCAGATTCAGTGTCGTAAAAAGTGCTCGGAAGCCTGGGATTGAGATTCTGGAGAGCGAAAGAAAGAGGGAGGAGGCCAAGGGTCGGGAGGAGCGCAACGTCACGACGTCCGCGGCCAAAGGCAGCTTTGGGGGCGGAGACTTGGCGGAGGCTGCTTCCCTTCCGAAAACTACAGGTCCCAGGATGCCGCGGGCCCCGGCCGGGCGGAGTGGGCGGGGCTTGGTGAGGGCGGAGGTCGCTCTGCGCGTCGCTCCTCGGCGTCCAGTTGGCGTCCTCATTCCGTCTTGGCGTGGCCCTTACAAGGCAGAATGGAGTCCTAACTAGTGGAGGGAGGATGGGGAGGTGGGGACTCCACAGGGAAGGCTGAGGTAGGAGAGAGCTACGTTCCAGTCATTTCCTTCTTTAAAAACTGGGTTTGAAGAAAGATGGGGGTGTTGGGCGGGGGAAATAAGAGAGCAATCAAAGGACTTATATGCATGCATATAAACATAACCAGTGGACACAAGACACTTCCTGGGGAGGTGGGTGGGTAGGGGAGGCCAGGGGAAGGTCAATGGGGGAAAAAAGGAGACATATGTACTACTATTTGTAATACTTTAAACAAGAAAATAAAATTTAAAAAACAACAACACATGAATAAAAAAGAAAAGAAAGAGAAAGAAGGAAAGAGAGAGAAAGAAGAAAGAAAGAAAAAAGGAGTGGGGTGTAAAGAAAAGACCAGTCCACCCCTATTTGTGAAGTGCGGTCAAAAGAACAAATGAGCCCTGACCAGCTTGACTCAGTGGATAGAGCGTCGGCCTGCCGACTCAAGGGTCCCAGGGTTTCTAACTCTCTATCCCTCTCCCTTTGTGTAAAAAAAGTCAATAAAATATATTTTAAAAAAAGAACAAATGGAGGCTTACATACTTTATGTCTGAATACTTAAAAGTTGTCTTATTTTTAAAAAGCTAAACAGTAAAGGAAATACGTTCTCGTTTTTCAACTTTATAAGTATAGTAATATGTTATTTATATCTGGCATTAGAAATAGACAATATGTTGTTTATGAATACATACGCACTTTTAAAAACTTCAGGGGAATGATATATAGAAAAATTGGAATGACAGTTCTCCAAGACACACACGGCCAGACATTGGTGAAAGCAGCAAAGACCCATCAGGGGAAAGAGCTGAGCTCCACTCAGACTATGCAGAGGTGGCCAAGGGCTTCGAAGGGAGTGTGAGGGTGGGGGAGAGTGGGCCTCATCAGGGGAGCGGTGAAAAGCTGCAGAGGGTTGGTCAGTGTGATTGTGGCGAGGCCGGCTGTGTCAGCTAGCTGGCAGTGCTCGAAGTTAGGATTCTGTCCTCCCACAGAGACTGGGAGATGGAGGACCTATCTGCCCTGATGATTACAGGGCAAAGGAATGGCCCGCAGGTCTTGGGGAAGAACAGTTCTAAATTAGAAGAGATATACATTCACAATGGTAAGCCCTTTCCGGTAAATACGCCAAGAAAGAGAGGTCAGCAGCCTATCGTCAGGTGTTGGCTAGAAGGAACAGTAAATTCTGGCTGCGTGGAGCTTTCTCAGTTAGGCATTTTAGTGGGGAGCTGGGGTTCAATGAGGGGCTGGGGTCATCCTAGGGACACTGCCTTATGTTGCTAGAACCTGTGCTAGAGTTTGGCCAAGCCTCTTAGTGTAGGGGTTTGGACAGAGTTATCAGCAGAAAGTTCTGCATCATATAATATAGTTATATTTGGGGGAGGGGAGGAAATGGCTTCATATATATGTATAAATATATATATATATTTAAATATGTCTATTGATTTCAGAGAGGAAGGGAGAGGGAGAAAGAGATAGAGATAGAAACATCACTGATGAGCAGGAGTCATTGATTGGCCGCCTCCTGCACCCTTCCCACTGGAAATTGAGCCCACAACCTGGGCATGTGCCCTTGACTGGAATCAAACCCAGGACCCTTCAATCCGCAGGCCATTGCTCTATCCAGAGCTTCCATTACATTTTTAATATTTTGTTTCTTAAGAGCTCATAAGTGGCTACGTGGTTGTTCAGCGTTCTTTAGAGAGATTGTACTTTGGTCTCTAAAATATTTCATAATTTAAAAAACTATTTGATTAAAGTAAGCACAAATCATAGTACAGCTATTTTATTTACAATAAAAAACATGTTCACTCTATTCCCGAAGGGGGGTAATACAGAGCTGCATGTTATTGGACCTACTTTCAAGTCCAGGATCTACATAATGTTCACTGCTTCTATGGGGAAATTTCTTTAAGATGGAATGATGGTTTGATCCCAGCTATCAGAAAGAATAAAAGGATAAAAGGCATGAATCTAGGTCAAATTACCATCCTAATATTCAGGACCTCCACTGGGTCCCTTCCATTGTTGTCAGTGGGTTTTCAGAAAGTTTTCTAAGTTGGATTTATTATTATTGTTGTTGTTGTTGTTATACTTTTTTATTGATTTCAGAGAGGAAAGGAGGAGTGATAGAAACATCAATGATAAGAGAATAATTGATTGGCTGCCTCCTGCACGCCCCCTACTGGGATTGAGGGAATTGGAATCTCTTATTTCATAGACCTCATGCTGTATAAGGTGATGCTAACAGTGGTGACCATATGAATCTGTGCATTCATCTGTGAGGTCAACCTGCAAACTCATCTGTGTGGTCAGTTGTTAGTGTAGTAGTGTTTATTTCACTTTTTAAATAATACTAGTATAGCCTTTCTTTTAAAAAGAGAGAAAAATGGATAACAGTTCTTTATCTTTTACTCATATTCAAGCAATCTTTTCTTGAGTTTTATGCATTCGTAGGTGAAGATGAAGACATAATAAAATGTATCAATATGTGGCTACATTAAAAATTACCCCAAAACATAGTGTCTGAAAACAATAAACATTTATTATCTCACAATTTCTGTTCTGGCTCAGAGTCTCTTGAGGTTACAGTCAAAATATTGGCCAGGGTTGCCGTCGTGCAGTCACCCGAAGGCTTCTCTGGCGCTGGAGGACCCACGTCCTTGGTGACTCCCTCACATGCCTGAGAAGTTGGAGTTGGCTGTTGGTGGGAGCCTACCGTCCTCTCCAAATGAGCCTTTCAATGCGCTGCTTGAATGTCCTCTTAACATGGCAGCTGGCTTCCCCTAGCAGCCATTTTCAACCGGTGTGCTGCGAGAATTTTTAAAGCAAGCAATACCTAACTACTTTGTTAGGGACACTGACCTCTTTGCCCTTATAGTGTCAAATTAAAAAAATGACAACATGCCGGGAGCCGGTCCATCCTTGCTGTTTCAAGGGACCTGGCATATATGGCATACTGTTCTTAATATATTTGCTCACCTTCTTGGCACTATGTGTTTTAACCAAGGTCACCTCTCCGAGAAAGGTTGTTTCCCCAGGTAGGGATTTTCCCCTGAAGTTAGGGAGGGAATAAAACCTCTTAA